TATATATATATTGCTATAAAGTTTCCTCCAATTGCTCTTTTTCCTTTTTACACTGTTACCCCACAGAAACATGACACCATCACAATGACAACAGCAAAAAGTAATGATAAAAAGATGCTTTTTGTCTTGTGCAATCCTGGTCTTTATGGCCGCAGYGCTGCAAGTTTTACTTGTTTTCCTGCTCCAACACACCTGATTCAGYCATCAAATTACCTCTTCCAAGTTCTGCAGAAGGCTGYWCATCAGCCATTCATTTAAAYCAGTGTTGGAGCAGAGAAACGAGTAAAACATGCAGGACTGCCCACCCCCGATGCACTCTAGGGATTATCATTCAAATGTCTCATGTTTAATTGAATACAGGTGATTTTGCAACGCATTGTCCCTCGAAATGTGTGTTGGATCGGTCTTAGCAAAGTAYCACACTTTTTATAATTACTGTATAAAAGTTTCAATAAAATCTAGTTCATGAGCTATTTTGCTAACACTATGTACAAACGAATACATAAACATCATCGCCTTCATCTTTGGAAGCAGGCGATAATTCATTTAGATTTATGTAGATTGTCAYATCATATTACACAAAAAACACAATCTGTTTTTTGCAGGAGCAGCAAGATTTTTTTTGGAGTTCAAAGCCTTTGGAATTGTAAAGTTTTTGCATGACTCAGTCAAAACTTCCAGCCTGAGGATAAAGGGGAATGTGTCTGAAATGCTCCTACTCCCGAGGTTCAAGATGTAACGCTTTGAAGGGGAAGCATGCTGGCAATGTTTCATTTATAAAGGTCAAAAATGAACTAAATTAAAAAAAATTCTTGCCCCATAGAATCCTCCACCAACTTATTAGTAGTGCTGTTGGCTGTTTGAGAAGCATTTTCAGTAGTGCGTGTTTTCATAAAGTGACACAAAGTTCCGAGCGCACTGCTGCTGCAAATTAAAYGTCACAATCTGACTTTTTCTCAACTTCGTCCTACTTTGGAAAAAGTGACACTCCTGTACCTTGGGAGACGTGGAATATTTTTGTTTTCAATGACAATGGGACCTGAAGGTAGAGATGCAAGAAAATAAGCACAAGGAGGAGAGGAWAGAGTGACCTGGGAGAGAAGAAGAGGATTTCAGGAGAGATTAAAGTCAACGCTAGCCTTTGTGAGCCTCTCTGAGACGTGCGCTCAGCCAAAGATGCACAGCCAAGTTGACAGGCCTGGGTGCACATGGGCAGTGAAACACACACACACGCGCACACAGTCAAAATGACTGATGCACTCACTTGCATCTCAGTTAAAACGGACACTAACATGCACTGAAGAAAGATGAATCAACGCTCAGGTATGTTGGAAAAAACCCAGGAAGGTAGAGAGCAAATCCCCTGAGCACTTCTTACCCCAACTTCAAACCAGCACTTCCCCCCATCCCCGCTACTACACACACACACACACACACACACACACACACACACTATTACACACTCCCTCTGCCACTCTCTATGAAAAACACTTATTTCTGCTCCAGTGTACAGAGATCACATTCAGAAGAGTCTAAACTGTGGGAAAACAAGGGATGGTGAAGAGAAATCCCCGTCAGAGCCGAGGAGCTCCAGTCATGCACAGGCACACACACACACACACACACACACACACGAGTTTCAACCGCACGTCTGAGTGACCGCCTTGTCTCGGACATTAATAAAAAATGAAAGAAATGAGCGTTATGCGGGTTGAGTTTTGTAACTGAGGAGATGAAGTGGCACGACCAAAAAAAATGTGAGTGGGTGTGGTGGGCGCGATGAGCAGAGACACAGCCATGGCTACAGTAACTATGTGAACAGAGGTATAAGGTATAAGCAGCCAATCAGCTCACAGGAATTGGGTTAGGTCAACGCAGGCCCACATACTAAAGATAAACTTGCTCCCAAACATCACTACTTTGTGGTCACTGGGCAACAAAAATAAATAAATAAATAAATAAAAAATCTCTTGCTCTTCATGTGTCAGTCCGCAGCTGGTTGCTGCTGTGAAATAGGCGACGTGACTCATTTTCACTTGAAAGCACGTGAGAGTGGGCTTGTGTTTGTGATTTAAAGTGTTTTCCAATGTGTGGCTTTGCGGTGGTGTAGTCACAGGCGGTATGACTGTACAGTTATTGACACGTTGTGGAGGGTGAAATGGCACATTTGGACTTACCATCTGGCATCATAAGCTTTCTCACACAATCTGGCTGTAGACCTAACCCCCCCTCCCAAGATAATTTTATTTATTTATTTATTTATTTATTTATTTATTTATTTATTTATTTTTGTGCACGTATTGTACCTTAGGTTTGCAAGCAGCCTGTTCTGGGACTCCATTCCTGCACGCATGCACTCACATCCTCTCCTGGGATTACACGTTCAGTCAGCCACCTAAACACCCACTTTGCGCGCACACGCTCGCAGAGAGACACACACGTGCGTAACCGTCACGGCGGGAGCCACAACTTACGTCCCGTGGACACATCAGCGCCCGTTTGCTATTAATGGGCAATCACCATGGCAACCAGTGTCATATCATGAGTAGCAGGTCACCTGGAAGTCTGCCATCTCCCTTTTTTTTTTCCATTCCCCCCAGAGGAGAGCGAAGAGAGGGAACGTTGAAAAAAAGACGAAATAGAACGGTTCAGCTGTGTAGTAGATGAGAGCAGAAAGCCAGTCCCTTTCAGACTGAAGCCCGGGCACAAAGGGGCCTCTTTTCATATTTCATCTGATTTCCACAGATATGACATAGTGATCTATTTGCAGGCAGCCTTACTACAGACAATACATTTTAGAGCCTTTCAGTGTAAGAGCAGGCCAGCCAGTGAGGTTTCATCAGCCCGTTAGGAAAAAAATGTGTTTTTTTTTTCTGTGAATGAATCACATTTTCACATCAATGTAATAATTTCATGAAAATATTTTCATTCTGTGTCATTTTTTCATTAGACCTCAATTTGCATTTGAATCGCATTAAATATCCAGCTTTACTCTCCCCTTGCTTCCCCTCGCTCCACTTCCTAATTCTATGGGGTGCCGTTTGTAAAGTGACACAGTCAAAAATTACCACCAATATTTTTGGTTTATTTAG